TGATGTCCAATGACAGGACAAGGGGCAATGGGTACAAGCTGGAGCATAGGAGGTTCAATCTCAACATAAGGAAAAACTTCTTCTCAGTGAGGGTGCCAGAGCCCTGGCCCAGGCTGCCCAGAGAGGTTGTGGAGTCTCCTTCTCTGCAGACATTCAAAACCCGCCTGGCCGTGTTCCTGTGTGACCTGGTCTGGTGATCCTGCTCTGGCAGGGGTTGGACTGGATGATCTCCAGAGGTCCCTTCCAACTCGCAATATTCTGTGATTCTGTGAATCCACTGAAATTACACTGTACCCAGGGTTGTGGGCTGCTTTGGGGTTTTTTCCATACTAAGGCTGTAAGTACTCCCCATTATGCTTATGAAATTGTCTGTTTTGTTTGGCTTGCTAACAAATTCCACCACTCACTTCAAATCAGGGTACCAGATTAAACATTTTCTTAAAGGTTACTTTTCTCAGCAGAAGTACGATTACAATTTTACTGGGCTCAAAGATAACAATGTACCAGGCTAAATTATACTGCAAATACTTCACAGTCATAAAGACATACAATGATAAAGGTAAGGTCCAGAGCGAAAAAATAAACCTTCAACAGATTGAAATGCAATAGTTACTTCTACTTAAATATTCAAAATTAGGCAGCATTAAAGAACAATAATGCTATTTAAACACCTATTGATGTACAGTGAATCCAGTAACTCGTAAAGGTACTGACACAGAAAGAGCTAAAAGCCATAACTGGTCAAACAGCTACGAAACTTCATAAGAAGTCAAGAATTTTAAATAAACCCTATTTTACTTGGGCTTTGACTACTGAGCAGAGTAGTCATTGCTCATTCACATTACTCATTGTAATTGCTCATTACAAAGCAGAAGTAAAAGTTCCAGAAACTACTAAAAAGCGTTTCACAAAAGGAAAGGTCAAGCACAGCACAGCATCATTACAGCCTGAAAAACTGAATGCAAAAGCCAAAGTCCTTTCTTGAGAAAGCAGTTGACTTAATTCTTTGACATTTTGAAGCAATCACTTTCCAAGCTCTGGTAGCATCATTGCAGCCTGAAAAACTGAATGCAAAAGCCAGTCCTTTCTTGAGAAAGCAGTTGACTTAATTCTTTGACATTTTGAAGCAATCACTTTCCAAGCTCTGGTAAAAACTTAATTGACTATAAAATACTACAAAACTGGACACGGAGCAAAACGATTGCAAACACAAGGACCTTGGAAAACAACTCAGGAGAAATAACACACAGAGAACTCCTGAAGTCCAGTACCACAGAACATTCAGGTGTCTAACGTCGTTGTTTCAATGACTGTTAGACACTGAGGCTCTTACCATGGTTTTTTTCAAGGGGTCCATGTTAAAGAGCTTAAACTCCCCTGAAATCCTCAATTTTTCTGCATTTTTCCCTCATATACGTAAGTTCAGAAATAACAGCACAGAAATTTGAGCAGCTCAAAAACCAAAATTAATCGTAGCCCCATATTTTTTAGGTGAATTTCTGGTGGCTGGCAGAGGTGGCCCCGGCGTTAAATCCAATGCTCCCACAAAACCGAAACCACCTTGCTCCATCCTCAGTTAACCAAGTTCTCATGACAAGGCAGGACGTGCAAATATTGAGACCTCAGTATTTGATGATTTGCTCGTTGTTACAAAAATGTAAAGCACAGAATTAAGGAACGAATAACATTTACTCGTGCAACTACAGGAGAGGTACAGCCAAGACATTAATTTTCAGTGTTTTGGAATGTTTTCTTTAATTGCAGGATAACATCCCCTTCCCCATCGCGCTGTGCTTTTCCCCTGAGTGCTGTAATTTACCTGGATAGGTTTCTCATCTTTCTCCATTTTGCACACCGCTGATACTTTTGCAAAAACACCGTTGTGCGTGCTCCAGCTCTCACCACTCAGAAAACGTTTCCGTGGAATCTTTATTAACGTTAATTACATTACGGCTCATTTAGATGTGAACCTGGGAGCAGTCCCAGTATACCGCCTAGCTATAAATATTTCAAACCAATACTAAAAGTAAGACTGTAAACATCTCAGGAAAAATTGCGGTGTTTCTCTGGGAGTCTGTTCAGCTGCAGAGCAAAGACGTGCAGAGCAATGGGCCACTTGACAAGAGAACAGGTAAAAGAATATTCACAAGCCAGCTTCGACACACACCTTTCTTTGAAGGTGTCTCTATTCTTTGCACAAATTAAGCTGTTACCTTCAGCCTATGTTTTCCTTTGTAAATATTTCCAATACCCTCTTACGAAGTAACAGTTACATTATACTTTACATGAACAGACTTCTATAATCTCCTTAATAATGGACTCCCAAGACAATTCAAAGACAATGAAGTATTCATCTGGGAATGGCTGCATCAGCTCTCAGTCAGCTAATTGCAGTAGAAATAAGCTCAAAACTTGCTCAAAAAACTTCTTTAAATCACAGAAATGCTCCTTCAAAAACGAAGCGAAACCAGTATAAATGGGGAGTAATCTTTGTGAAGCTAAGGTAATTTAAAAAGAAACCCAACCCATTTGCTCACCAACTCTTGATCCTGCTCCAACAAATTCAAAAGTAAATTAATTCAACAATTCTTTACACAAGGATGCTGAGAACATAACCAGGCTAACAGCACAAATTTAGCTTTGTGCTTCCTCTACAGCTACACAACGAATGAGATTATGTCCCCTTAGACATCAGTGTAAACAAAAGTATTTCAGAAAGGAGAATCAACAAAATAAAGAGAAACAATAAAGTCTCCTCGATGCTTTCAACATGTGGTATCAAGCAAAACACTTATTACTTGAACCAAAACAACGACTGAGGCAACACCGTAGGGGAAGGAACCTTCAGAAAACAAGCGTTTTAAACAGTGGAAAACATTCTTCCAAATACTTCCATTTTAAGATGAAAGAAGCTCTTTCTCTAAGAAAGCAAAATAAGCAGGCAGCTGCCCTACCCAGAAAGGGGAAAGGGCAACACGGTGTCCCTGGGGCTCACCTCCCATCAAAGGGACAACGCTCCGAATCTCCCATGCAAAAGAGCACCAAGCAAGTTGGCATTTGGAGTAACATTCACCCTGGCGCAGCAGACTGCATCCTTTCAGGAGGTAAATAACAAACCCAAGCAACACAAAACAGACGGTGCGAGCTTTAAGAGTATTAAGATTAATGAAACATTATCACAACATTCTCAGAGAAGTGGCCATTAGAAAACAGGCCTAAATGAAAGTAAAACAGTAGCGTTACAAAGCCTAAATGCCTCTAACACTTTCCTCATGAAACGGATTGCTGTTATTAGCAGCTTGGAGGCCTCTTGTTTGCATAAATCCCAGCACATATCTTCGTTAGGGAGGTCACATTTCTGTACCCTGAGGAGTAATGGAGTAAGGAGCAGCAGGAGTAAACTTGCTTCTTTAATTCTCATTACAATTAGAAAGCTGAATTCCAAATAACGTTATAATTCACGTAGAACACACCAGTTTTGCTGTTATAGGTAAAGCCAGATTTCTAGTATGGTATATAAGCACTTTACATCAGAAAACTTCCAGGAAACATTTGAAGTAATGCCAGAGCGTGTCTCTAGGCAGAGCTGCTCTGACAGCACGGCTCTCCCAGCGCTCATTCTGGGGCCTCACCAGGTCGGTGCTCTTCGTTGGCATTAGTACCACAGAGCGGTATTAGTACGAGACAGCAGGGCAAGAACTAGGAAAGGTATTGAAGTCTCATATATTGGCAATGCTTACATACTGTGTGTGAGTTATAAAATTGATAACTACACCCACACGCTGAGATTGCGCTGCTTTAAATACGGAAATAAAGTGAACATAAATGAAGCACACAAAATGTAGGCAATAACCTGACTGTAACGCTACAGTGAGTGCAGTCATGCAGTGAGACCCTGAAACCTCCGAGAGCTGAGATTTAAGCAAAGGATATTCAAAAAAAACAAAACCCCTGAAAAGCAACCCAAGCTGATCAAATGTATGCGAGCTGTGCTTAATAAGCAACAAGCTTAACAAGAGGAGTATAAATTCAATGCTTTTAACACCAGGTTAGAACCAGATGAATGAAGGGTGTTTCCACATCACATCTCTTTCCTTACCTGCCTCTTCCCACTCACAAAGATAGAATCCAAGAAAAAGCTTACACAAGAAGCCAGTGACCACTTAACGAGCTGAATCTTTAACAGCTTTCTTGCTTTTGCAAAAAGAGAAGGTTGGTTGTAATACAGAGAAAACAGCAAAACTGTCTGACATTCAGCTTGATGGGAGCATGGCATTCTCCAAAGCACAGCCTCAAAACAAAACAGGACACCACGTCTGAAGGAGGGAAGGAACGGAGGAGGAAGAAAGGTTGTCCAAGTTCCCCCTCCCCGAAGAGCATGTTCAGGACCTGAGATTTTGATCTCTATCATAAAGAAAAAAAACAGCAGGGCAACGCTAAGCCATAAATAGACTGTACTGCATCGAAACTACAGCAGACTGCTTGCAGGGCAAACTTTCTACTTTTCCAATTGTACAAAAGCAACTTTGCTACATAAGTACTATTCTCTTAACTAACCATTACTGGTAGAAGAGGAGAGGGGGTTGCTACTTTGAGGGCTGTCTCCTGCTTACAAAAGGACTTTTGGTGACTGTGAAAAAATATTTCCCAGTAGGCATTCAAAGCCATTTTTAGTTCTAGGGAAATATGGCAATCAACATAAAATCCCCGTAGCTACTCTTCTTATACAACCAACATTTCTGTAACACCCCTATTAATAATCCCTTCAGAGGATATATTACTATTCTCAAGGACTGTGCCCAATTTCACTGGTTTACAAAGAAGATGTAATGGTCTCTGATGATCACTACAGTTGTGGGCTTCATTCCTCAAAACAGAACTGTTTCAAGAAAGTGTACTGACAGCAACAGCAGCTCACTCTTCTATTGCTGTTCTCAGTTTAACTCGCCAAGCAGCTTCCTTATGGGAGGATACCGAGCGCGTGGGCATGAACGAAGAATCTGGTAAGGAATCTGGGAACTATGGCTATCGTTGCTGCTATCAGCACAGCAATATGCTTAGCAATGAGAAGAATCTGAATGTAGTAAAAACGCTTACATCAAACCTACACTATACATAATACTCAGAATAAAAAAGATTTTCAAGAAAACTACAAAGCAAACTTGTTCTCTGTGAATCCAAACGATGAATAATGGCAAGTTTTGGACTTAACTATTACATTGTCACTGTTCTTATAAAAAACACCACCACCACCCCCCCAAAAAAATACCAAACCACCAAACCCAAGGCCTTAATCTTTGTAAATGTGAAGCAAGTAGTAAGTCTTACCCCAGAGATAAGAAACACTTTACAGAAGTCCAAAACAGGTAAAATCTGCAAAAAACTGGCAGCTTCCAGAGTGTCCTGAAGGTTGTCCATATTAAGGGAAAGTTTTGCAGTATAAATGAAATCAATAATCTTCTTTAGGCCTATTTTGTTCACACCGTGAAGCTTAATGCACATTAAATCCTGTTCCTTCATTCCTCCTGAAAAAGACACGTAGGTAAGTTTATACAATCATTTTGACTGGGTTGAAATAATTTCATGAACTTATACAAAAATAAAGCACAATTTTAAAGTCTAATTTAAAAACCCATATGCAACAGTATAGAGAGTACAACTCCACAGAGTTGCTTGCAACCCTGAGCTGCTTCACACACAACACTGAACGTGTGTCTGAGTGGCCAAATGATGGCAATTTGGAGACAGCAGCGTGCATGATTTTAACAGAAACACCACCTGTGAACATAGCCTTGAAGTAATCACTTGCAGAAGCCATCATCGCTCTGTGCACAGGAAACACTTCATCACCATCTCCTGGAACGAGCGTCACATCACACAGCAACCCTTCCACCCGCAGTTGGTCAAAACCCTGCAAGAAGAGCATAACGAGAAGCATCCATTTGATCCGGGAGGAGAGGAGGAATCTCTTTCGTTTCTCTTGTGTAAATACTTATCTGCTTTCATTTACGTATGCACTTTAGTTCCAAGAAGTCACTAAGAAATAATTTGTCATCTTACAACCATTATCTCTGATATATACAAAGGTAATTTTTCACTGGAAAACAAGCAGAGCAATTACTTTTTCCCTGAAATGGTTGAAGAATGCGAAGTACATTGGGCCTAAGGAAGTCGCTTTAGTCCGCAAATTAAGTTATTTTCAGGAAGGAGTTTGTTTTGTAAGTTCGTACTCCTGCAATTGTTTCAGGTAGGGACTGAAATCTTTTCTGGTCTTACTTTTTCTGTTCCACACCAGTTTAAGTGCTTTGCAACCTGAGATGCTGAAAAACACTGGGTCCTAAAAGGAAAGCTGTCACATGGTTCTCTGTTTATCTATTACTGAAGTTTACATGGCAAATACTCCAAAATAAGCTCACATTATAGATCTCATCTTTTCTGAATTACCCATGATGGCAAACTGCAACAAAATAAAGAAAGACATCTACAACAGCGTCCTAGAGAAGATTTTCCACTGAAGATGTGCCCAGCTGGAGACACTGCAGGATGGGCAGAAAACTCGCCTCCTTCACACACTGCAGAACAGAAGCTCAAACATAAAACTATTTACTTCAGTTGGGCACACCTGATGTTCTTCTAGAACTGACAATAATGTAAATACTGTCTCTACAGATTTAACATCTAGAGGAGTCTTGGCATCGGCCCTCATGGTTTAAAATTTAAGTTAACTGAATGAAAAGCTGTGTTTTCAAAACTACAAAGGTAGAAAGGTAGACATGAACATTCAGATTTGTTGCACAGAAAAGAGTGCAAAGGAAAAAATGAGTTACTAGTGCCAATAAAAACCAGAAGCCAAACACAGATTTATATAAAACTAATGTATTTCAATGCTTCAAACAACTTGCCTGTAGCTTCTACAAACAAGGCTTTTCAACTACCAGTTCTCTATTATCTCAAATTTTGAAGGAAAAAAAAAATAAATGAGATGAAATAAGCTCTGAAAACTTTGCTTAGGATTCCCACTCCCACACTTAGGATTCTCTCCTTCACCGATGATCTTTGAGTAGAAAACATACAACGTAGCCAAGGGAGTCTTCATAGTCCAAGATGATTTTCTTTCAGATGGTTACCAGTTTGCATTCCTG